ATACAAATGTCATAAAAAAATTTTGCTTATTCTAATATAAATTATAAAGTCAGAAGTCAACTTTGCGTATTGATCTTAGTAAAAACATTTGCTTATTTTAAGGCAAAATTTTGCCGATCATCTCTGACTTTTATATGTATTTTTCAGGGTCCTATATTAATTTATATAGATGCAATCTTATTTTAATATAACTATGTTTACTTATATACATATATTAAACTTATAAAAATAAGAAAAACATAATACATATAAGAATTAAATATTATGAAAAAAGACTACTCCTTCAAAGAAAAAGTTAACTTAAGTGACTATCAAGATCTACCTAAAAATTTGTCCAATGACTTTTCCAATAAAATGCTAAATCATTCTATTTATTCCAATTAGTTTCACTAAAGTATTCTATTATAATAAACATAGCAGGCTTTCCGATTTTTGAATAATCACATGATGATCGGCATATGTATTGTTTTTAGTTTTTTATTTAATAAATTATCTGTTACGGCACCATAATAAATAACTAAAATTCATATTTTCTAGTAATTTTTAAATGACGTAATACTGACATAATTGTTTGTATAGATATGTATTTTATTGGCTGGATATCATATGTATCGCACATGTGATAGCTGTACTAATTTATTTTAATTGTGCTACAAAAAATTTAATAGCGAAGGACGATAAAAAAAATTGATTCTTCAGGTCTTGTTTAAACGTATTACAAAGGAATCTGGCTATTGGAGGTGGAATCCAGAAGTTATAAACATTTAAAACCTTCTTATAAAACGAAAATAAGTATAGTATATTTATATTATTTGACTTTACAAAGAATTTTTGACAAAAAATAGTTGGAATCAAATAAAGATATATTTTGACACTTCAGGTTCTTCTTAAGTGTAAGTCATAAAGTTTTAAATAAGTTTAGTGTCAAATAAATTCTTTATTGATAGAACTCCTTACCATTTAAAGGATCAGATAGGATTTTTAGAAATTTTTTTTCCTTTATTATTAATAAACTAATTATTTCTTTCTCTTTTTTAGAAGTTGACTTATAAATTTCATCAGTATATTCTATTAAAAGCTTAAACAACATCCTTTAAATAAAGTGAAAGGAGTTTTATGACTACAATTATTGGTAAGAAATCTATCTATATCTATATATTAAAAAACACTGCAATCACGTGGGCGTTATGTTTAGATTAACCATATAAATAAGTTATTTGAATTGTGTAACCCTACTCCTATTCGTCGCCAATATTACACAAGACCAAAAAAGGAAATTTTATTTCTGGCAAAAAACTGAAATTTTGGGTTACACAGAATTCCATAAAAGGAAATTGCCAGTTACGCGAATTTCCAAAAAAGGAAATTTTATCTTCTGTTACTTTCAGAAAAATTAAAAAAATTGTGTTGCTCAAATTTCCAAAAAAGGAAATTCTTTGCAGATCTTTT